AACTCGACATTTTCTTTATTCTCCTCTACGTCTATTTTAAAGTCTAAGTAACTCGTCGCTTCAGCAGCAGATGCGGGTGCCGTCGGGTCTGCCTGTAAATGATTGGTCAGATCCTCAACATTCACAACCGGAGGATCAGCTAGCCAGACAGGGCCGATACAAACGGAGCGTAGTTTCTGAAGGCCACGTTTATGAGCCGCTTCATACTCAACTAATGATAAGCGTTGGCGTAACTTCTTCATTTCGAGTGCTTCTGATGCGAAGCCACCTTCAGAAAGAGGATCTATCGAAAGGAATAAAAAAGTAACGATAATAGGTAAACTAAGAGGAGTTACTAAAATTGATATTCTAAATAAAAATCATTTCATAAATTAATTGAATAAAAGATCCATAAAAGTATATAGATAAAATATAGAAAATAACCAATTTCCGCCTCCTCAACACCCTCGTCATCTGAAAGGTAGCCATGAGGAACAAAGAAACAATCATCTTCATCATCAGCAGCTTCATCTTTTCCGGTTTCATCTTCGTCCTCTTCTTCCCCCTAAAAAATAAACGAGCAGTATAAACTTAATATTGGAAAATATAACTTCAAGCAAATTAGTAATAAACGGTAAAAAGATTTTGTTTGTAGAAGCTACCCCTTCCACTTCGAGCACTAATGAGAAGGATAGATGAGCCAAAATATTGAACGGTTGAACTGAAAATGGTCAAAAGGATTGCCTTAATCGTCAATTTGATAGATTATAGGTCTGTGTTGATGATAGTATCTCTCGTTGACGATACCGACGAAAAGCTTGGGAATGTACCAAATCAATAGTCCAATGCTAGACATCACGAATACTATGACAGAGGACTCATGGCTAGCTACGTTCTACAAGGTATCTCTGACGTTCCGATCAAGTTTCGAAAACGAGATCGAACCAACTATATAAAGCTAAAGGAGACTGCGACCAAACAGAAGGCCATACCATCTTGCTCTTTATAACTACGATATAATATTAAAATTTAACAACTATGATGCAAAATAAGATCATTTTATACTTATTTG